ACGGCCCAGCAATGTCATCATCTTCTTGTCGTTTCCTAGAAAGTATAGTGGTTAGCACTAGGTTCATTACAGAATGCACAAGAAATGATTTGAGAATGAGTCACTAACCTCTTGTTTTGTGATATGTCCCTAATTTCTCCATCGGAGTCAACCTCAGAAAATTTGCAAGTCTTGGCAAAGTGGCCAAAGTCACCACACCTTTTGCACTTCACATTTTTCTTGTTCACTTTCCCTTCAAGGTAGCCCCTAATTCTCTGTACTCTTGGTCTGCATGGTGGTCTTCCTAGCAAAGGTGGAAATATTTTGAACCCAAGATCAACATCAGGCCACTGTGTTTCCTCATATTTACCATGTATGTGCTGAAGAGCTAGCTTCATACCCCCATGCCTTCGAATACTTCAACTTGATGCCTTAATCATCTTCCAGTTTGTCCCTAGCATCCTTGGGACGTTTGTTTGGATTTTTCTTGAGCCATTCTGTCAACCTACTAGCACACCAGTCATGTGTTGCCATTTTTCTTCTCTCAGCTTTGTAGTAGGACAGTTATGCTCAGTAGGCAATACTTTAATCTGCAACAAAATTGAGTACATGTTACAAAAGTAGACCACAAATAGTTTAGAATAGAAAAATAAGAATGACACAGGTTGTACCTCTATTGTTTTGCCATCATAAATCCTTGACGCATGTATTCTCCATGGGCAGCCCTTAGCTTTACAATGGGCAATGAACCTTGTCGGGTCAATCTTCATATCAGCAAATTCAAATCCAGTGATCACAACATAGTGCCTCATAGCTTTCCTAAATGCTATGATATCATGAAACAAGGCACCTTTCACAATGTTGGGATTTTCTGGATCATGAACGACATTTATCTCCTGAGGATCTGCATCATTAACTTCTGCCTCAAGAGGAACACCTCCTTCAGCAGGAATATAATCAGAATTGTTATCAACTGGTTGTGGTGCAGTGGCATTTGTGGTTAGTTGTGCAGGTGGTACTGAGATATAGATGTGTTCATCATCAACGCCCACGTACTCCTCTTCATTATCAAACTTGCCTGGCTCCCTGGTAGGCTCAACGTCTGGCTCCTTTGTTGCAGCTTCAGTAGGTTGTGGCAGCTCCTTTGTTGCAGCTTCAGTAGGTTCTAGCATGTTTTGGGTGGATTCAGGAGCCTGTGTATTGTGTTTTTTGGGTTCAGTGGCCTGTGGTGGATTCACTGGGCTAGGTTGTTCATCATCAGGAGGAATAACACACAAAGGTTCTAGCTTAGCATGGTCATCAGTAGTAGATACTGAATTGTCAAATACACCTACTAAGACCTGGCAACACATCTCAGCCTTGTACATAGCAAACATATCTGGCAAATGACTGTAATTCACTAATCTGATATCTTCTCCCAAATTCGTGTCAAAGAACCACAATCTCCCACACTGGTTAGATGACCATTGCACCTCTTTGGCTAAAACATTCATCAATAGGTCTATGGTTATATCACCTATCTCTGCCTCCTACTTAATCACAAATCCCTTTGTGTAGACTTTCCTACCCAGGGAGTCTGTGCTGTAGAAACCTTGAACTTTAATCTCTAGCATGAACAACTCAGGCCTAGCATGAAGAATGCAAATGTAAGGGAAATCCCATAGCAAAAATGGGTCCATCCTGAAGTTCTGTACTCAGATCAACGGAAGATTTTGGGGGAGTTTGGGGATTACCTGTCCTTGTTGTTGGCCATGCCCGATGAACTCCCACACGGCTCTCCGGTCGCGGAGAAGCCTATCATCTTCCTCAAGCTACGACCATGGACTCCAATAGATGCATAGCTCTTGGGGAAACATATCTCCTTCACCACCACCTCCTACTCCAGGCCCGAATCGCCATCGCCGCCGACTTGAGCCACCGCCGCTGGATCCGATTCCGTCGCTAGCTAGGGTTCATGACCCGGGAAAGAGACGAGAGGAAAGGAAGTGAGCGGGTTAGACGACCTCGACTGGGTATAGCTCATTTTAGTCGGATGAGGTAGGGGCAATATGGGCCATATGAAACATGTCGCCGTATACGTACGCCTGTAGGTGGGCCACATCTCGTAGCAAGCATATAGAATGGCATCAATCACGTTCCACTGAAATTATAATGGCAAGTTTACAATATCGCGAATTGTAATGGTTTATTTCGAAAGTCGCAGAATTGTAATGGTATATTTTGAAAGTCGCAGAATTGTAATGGCAGCGTTCAAATTAACCCTTATGTCTTTTGTCCTTCGATAACACTGATCACAGCTGAAGTTTAAGACATTTTTGTTCCTCGGTTGCGCCCTATTATAGTAAGTAGGATTGGTATCTAAAAAGAATTAGGAGCAGATTTTGAGTAGCATGTATAAAATCAAAACCAAACAATTCTAGAAATAGAAATGGATAAATTGATAAACTTTTATGCTTGATTGATAGTGATGAGGCAATTTTTATTCATATCTTAGCTGATTGGAAGTGTTAATGACTCGTACCAGAATCATGGCTTCCTTTATATTGTCCCATAGCAATAAGTTACATAAAGTTCTACTACTAACTTAAGCCATTAATTTATACTGCTAACTTGTGAAAATTAAGTTATGCTGCTAGCTTATTATGCTAAGTTATGCTGCTAGCTTATTCTGCTAAGTTGTATTGTGCAACTTATGTTTCTGTAGAATAACTTTTTATACACACTAGTATATTAGTTCTGTAATTTATGTACATAAGTTCTATTGTGTAACTTATGTACTACCTCTATTCTAAATTATAAATGTTTTGGTACTTCTAGATACATTGATTTTGCTATGTGTCTAGATATTTACTTGTTTCTAGATACATAATAAATTCAATTTAGAAAAGCCAAGGTGTATTATAATTTGGAATGGTGGAGTAATGAAGTTGTGTAGAATAGCTTATGTATAGTATAACTTTTTGTACATAAGCATAACTTTTTATAAGATTATGTAATCAATTGTGCTTCTTAACTTACTCTATAATTTTGTTCTATATAGTTTTTTTGTGGTGCTATGTTAAATAACAAAGTTATTTATCTATTTTTGTTTTCATGTGAATGCTATCTAACTTAGTTAATTAACTTATTATACAGAGTTATGTATCTAATTTGTGTTTTTATGTGTATGGTACCTAACTTCTTTGATTAACTTTTTGTACAGAGTTATGTGTCTAACTTGTGTTTTTATGTGTATGTCACCTAACTTATTTGATGAACTTCTTTGACTTCTTCACCGTTTTTTGGAAAATTCATATCATTTGTTCAACCGTTAAAGTATTAACATTTCAAAAAAAACATTATTCGCAGAAATAACAGTGGAGCATTTGTTCTTGAATTACTTAAATCTTATGATGGCCAGACTCACCTTTATTTTAAAGAGGTATTACTTTGTGCTAAATGTATTAAAACTAGTTATTATACTCTGAAATTTTTGTTTGTCAAGTTCTGTTTGTTAAAACTGTGACCATTTAATTAGGACATATTACTTACATCTTGAGATTAGTTGACAAGATGTTTTCTGAATTTTGACAAGATGTTTTTTGAATTTTATGTCATGCAGGACCATGCAAAGCCTATTCGTGAGGCATTGATATGCTATTTGTGCACCCACGAGAAGAATCAATTCTTGTTACCTGCAATACACGTGACATAGCTGAGCAACATGTAATATTTCATATTTGTACCTATTATTTTGTCTTTGATGGAATCCTTATCTTTGGTTCTTCTTAAACTTATCAGGGTATAAAGCTTTCAAATTATGCATGAACAAGGTATAAGAGGTATGATTTTCTACTTAACTTATTACATTCATTGCTATTGAAATAGTTTCTTCTGTTTCTCTATAAGATTCTTTAATCAATCAATGGTGCCTCATAATTTGCTCTATACATTTGTTCTATATAGTATTTTTTGTTGCTATGTTAAATAACAGAGTTATTATGTATATGTTTTTTGTTTTCATGTCTATACTACCTAACTTAATCGATTAACTTATTTCACAGAGTTATGTATCTAACGTGTGCTTTCATGTTGTATGCTACCTAACTTATTTGACTAAGTTACTGTACAGAGTTATGTGTCGAACTTTTCTTTTTTTTGTGTGCTACCCAACTTATTTGATTAACTTACTGTTTAAGAGTTATGTCTTTAACTTGTGCTTTCATGTGTATGTTATATAGTCATCTTACTTTTCCTATTGACTTATGTTTTTTTCTTTTGTTTTGTATTTGTTATTTTAAATATTAAAATATTTTGCCGATCTTCCAAGTGAAGAAACATATATGCTCAATGCGAATGTCATAGTTATAGAGATACTGAGACTATCGCTGCAGAAGTTATGAAAGTTATTATTTATCTGGTTTTGAAAGTTTGCATCATATTATAGAATTTATTATGTAGTATATGTTGTAAAAGTTACTTTTATTTTGCTCCCCTATCCTTTTTTAAACCCTTTCCCTATGTCCCCGAATGATTAGTTTCTGAAAAGAAAAAAAAGGTGATAAAACCTAAAGAGAATGTTATTCTCGCAATTATTTTCAAAATGTAAATTTTGCGCTAAAATGTAGTATTGTATAACTTAGCATTGTTAAGTTATTCATCGAAGATATGCTGTCTAATTCAGTTATCTAAGCTCATGGTTCTTAAAAATAAAAATAAAAATAAAAATAAAAAAAATGTGGAAGCACGTGAGATCTAGCACGTCCACGCCCAGCACGTGCGCAAAAAGAGAATGGAATGCCTACGCATCCACCACGCTCGTCCAAAAAGAGAAACAGAATGGAATGCCTCAGACTATCTAAAAAGGTATCGTGTGGGAACGAATGATTTCCTATTAATGCAGGTATGCTTTGTCGGAGAATCGTTCCCTGGGTTCATTTTGAATGAATGTTCGCCAATTAGTGACGTCAGGTTAGAGAAGCTGGAGCCGGTGTGAGCTGGCCGTACATTATTACCGCTGTGCGCTGTGCGAGATGGTCAAATTACAAGTGCAAATAGTTAATCCTGAGATAGCCCAAACGATGGCCGGTGGCAACGTTTGTGACGGGTCCATGGAACCAGAACCGGGCGTGAAGCACCCACGCGCCGACGCTGAGCAGCAGCACGCCGCCGACGGCGACGGGCGTGTAGTTGAAGTTGGCCTCGGCGACGGGGTATACGCCACCGGCAGGGAGAAGAGGACGGTGAGGAGGGCCACCCAGGCGATGGCGACCCAGCCGACGACGAGGCTGCAGCGCCGCCCGCGGTGGAACGGCCCCGGGACGAAGAATTCCCGCGCCGTCGTGACGCGGAAGAGGATGGGCAGCGCGTAGGCGATGTACAGCCCCGTCGTCGCCACGGAGACCATCGCCTGGAACGCCACCTGGCTCCCCAGTGACTGCAAACAGGAAGAGAGAAGCAAGCGTGCGTGTGTGAAATGTGAAGCCACAACCATCTGGCAGCTGCCATGGATGCAATGCAACCAGTTGCAGTGCAGTTCAGAGAGTTGGATCGCGATCGATGCACGCACCGGAAGAGCTATGACGAATGCGACGGCGACGGAGAACCAGACGGCGTTGAAGGGCACCTCGTGCCTGTTCACCCGGTGCCAGACACGCGAGAACGGCATCGCCGGCCCCGTCCCTGGAGAAGGCATACGCCATCCTGCATGCACATGGAGCACAGGTTATTATATATGCTCTTGTTATGGCTTCCCTAGCTAGCATTGAGAATTCGAGTGATTGCTTGTTGGCTTCAACAACCTCGAGTCGCTGGTCACGTTGGTGGAGCCGCAGATGAAGACGGCGACGGCGACGATCCCCAAGCAGACGATCCCTCCGGCGCCGCTGCCGAACCTCCTGCGGAAAGCGTCGTACAGAGCCTGCGCGACGGCGTATCCACCGGCGTTGAGGAGGTACGAGATGTCGTCCGTCACCGCCGAGGTCAGGGCCAGCAGGTAAACCCATCCGAACACGCTCGCCAGAGCAACGGAAGCGACTATCCCCATCGGCCCGCTCCAGTCTGCGTTCTTCGTCTCTTCTGTCTGCACGTGCGTGTGAGCAAAAGATGAGACTTCAAGGAATGTTTTGGTCTTTTAGCTGAAAACCTCTGCCGCTGAACAGAGTTACCATGTGAGCAGACGTGTCGTAGCCTAGGAGGGAGTACTGGCTCATCAGCAACCCCATGGCGAAGATGTAAGTAAGCTCTGTCGCGGATCCCCATGCCGTTGTCGGTGTTGAAGTGGGTGAAGATGAACTCCGTGCCTGCTCTCTCTTTCGCGACCGCTGGAATCAGGATCACCAGAACAAAGACGCCTGCCGTGTTCCAGAAGACTCCGAGCTAGCCCAGCCAGGACAGGCGCTGGATGGGGAGGCTGTTGATGAGACCGTGCACGACCAGGATGGCGGCGTAAATTGCGAGCAGGACGTACTTGGAGGCCATGTAGCCGCCACCGTTGGCTCCCCCGGTGCCCAGCAGGACCATCACTTGGATGAGCTGCGCCAGAGAGAAGTCCACGCTCGCCGTACCAGTCCACTGTGAAACGACGGTTTTGTTTTGTTTATTATCAGGAATTGAAGCAGGTAGTAGATGATTGTCATTTGTCAGTCAGTACAGTATATATGTGCACTGCAACTGCAGTTTGAGGCTACTGAACTGACCAGTCTTTGGTCAGTTCTAAAGTCACAGTCAGCAATCTGAAAAGGCAAGAAAGAGACTGCAATTGCTGTTTGCTCAGGCTACTGTCAGTGAATGCTGTTGTTTTGTCACTTTGTGGTGGAAGTGATAGCCCATCTGATCTTATGCCGGTCCTCACAAAATCCACTAAAGAAAATGAATAATCAGAGTAGTTTTTGACTTTAGAGGTGCAGGGTCCTGTGGAGTTGGAGCCTACCTGCGCAACGATGTTGAACCTGTAAAATTTTAAAACTTATTTAGGCAGGTTTATATTACCAAAAACAACTGAATTGAAGCGACAAAGATTGTCCTTGTCTGATTCTGATGGATCTTTGTTTATCAGTTGAGCACAGGAGGTGGGCACATGAATTGAAGAACGTTCAGAGTATGATCGCTGAGAGCGAGAACTACTACTACTGACTACTGAGATTAAACTGACTACTGAGATTAAAAAAAAATCTGAACAGAGCGTACCATCCGGTGACCCATGAAGCAAGGGACGCTCAGTCCTCGCCGGAGAGCTTGGCGCTCCAGTAGTAGAGGCCGCCGGAGGTCGGGTAGGCGGAGCAGATCTCCGCCATGGACAGTGCCACGCAGCCGTTGAAGAGCGCCAGGATGAGCCAGCCCAGCGTCATGGACGCCGGCCCACCGTAGCGCAGCCCGGTTTTGTAGGTCGTCGTCACGCCCGTCAGCACGGAGATGAGGGAGAAGGAGAAGGCGAAGTTGGAAACGACACTGCAATGATACAGAGAGGCACGAACACGACACGACGAAGCTAAGGGAAGCGCTCATGAGCGAGCGAGAGTACAAATCGCCTGGGAATTGGGAAAGAATCGGTGGAGGCACGTACGAGAGGCCGCGCTTGAGCTCCGCTTGTATCCCTGCTGCTGCAGCCGGGCACGGACACGGAGAGCCAGACGACGTTCAAGGGCACCTCCTGCTTGTTCACCTTGTACCATATGTTCGAGAATGGCACCGCTCCGTCTCTGGAGAAGGCATACCCCATCCTACACATGTACAAGTAGTATGCTTTTATTTAGGGAAAAAAGACAGCAGATGATGATGCAACAATCGTTTTAGCATGCACTGCACTGCACTGCAGTTAGGCCGTGCCCAACGCTCCGCCATGGATGTATGCCCCGGCCTCCACGTTTGCATACAACGTCCATATCAGCTCAAATGTTAGCTTCGCAGACTGTCAGCGGTGCTTGCAGAAGATACCACTGCTTGGTCTGACAAAAGGTTGGAGCCACCACTCCAACACGCGTTGTGGCCTGTGGCTGGAAAAAAAAAGGACTCTGTGTTGCAGCAGAAAGCTACGGTGCAGGCAGCTGCGCTGGTCCCCGCGCGGATATGCCTGCGCTGTGGTCTTTGATGCCCTGCTAGTACTTGGTCTACATTGACCTTTTTTTTAAGTTGAAACCACTGGTGATTGTTAGGGTGTGTTTAGTTGATTGTTAGGGTGTGTTTAGTTGAGTGAAAGTTGGAATTTGGGCTACTGTAGTACTTTTGTTTTTATTTGGTAAATAGTGTTCAATCATGGATTAATTAGACTCAAAACGTTCGTCTCGTAATTTCCAATCAAACTGTGCAATTAGTTTTTTTTCGTCTACATTTAATGCTCCATACACGTATCGCAAGATTCGATGTGATAGATAATGTAGCACTTTTTTAGATTTTGGGTAGCAACTAAACACGCGCTTAGCTTGCGTTGGTCCTGCCCTTAGTACCTTGAGTTGCTGGTGACGCACGCAGAGCCGCAGAGGAAGGTGGTGACGGCGACGATCCCCAAGCACGCGATGCCTCCGACGCCGCTGCCGAACCTCCTGCGGAAAGCGTCGTACAGCGCCTGGGCAACGGCGTACCCGCCGGGGTCTAGGAGGTAGGGGATGTCCGTCATCAGCGACGCCAAGGCCACCAGGTAAATCCATCCCAAGACGCTGGACAGAGCAACGGAGGTGACGATCCCCATTGGGCCACTCCAGTCCGCGTTCTTCGTCTCCGTCTGCACGCACGCATTGTTATTGTATAATGAATTAATGACCATCAGCTAACGTAGCATCTGTATACGTATTTTGTCAGATTGGACGAGAGTACACCAGTTGTACCATGTGTGCAGATGCGTCATAGCCGATGAGCGAGTACTGGCTCATCAGCAGCCCCAAGGCAAGAATGTAAGCCTTGTCGTGGATCCCCATGCCATTGTCTGTGTGAAGATGAACTCCGTGCTCGCCCTCTCCGTCGCAACGGCTGGAATGATGATCACCAGAGCAAATGTACCTACATATATACAATAGATTTTTTTTTATCACCAATAACGTTTCATGTATTAGTGAATTGCTGATAGTACTCCGTATTTTATTTTTATATTCAGCTTGGACGTATATAAGAACTGTGAATCGTTAAGAAGGGTGGTATTTATTTATACCTGCGGTATTCCAGAATGCTCCGAGATGGCCGAACCATGCGAGGTACTGGATGGGGAGGCTGTTCATTAAGCCGTGTGACCAGGATGGCACCATAGATGGCCAGCACGACGTATTTGGATGCCGTGTAGCCGCCGCCGTTGAGGCCTCCGGTGTCAAGCAGCGCGATCACCTGCACAAGCTGCGCCAACGAGAAGTCCACGCTCGTGGTACCTGCCCACTGTGCGCTCGTTGACATAGTTTAATCAAGAAGAATGTCAAGTGCTCTGGTCATCAAAATGGACATTCGAGATCGGTTCTAGTCAAACTTTTGGCGCTTGGGCTAGTATATAAAATGTATATGTACTTCTTAATTAACCATGAACATCTACGTCACCCGTTCGATGAAAAGACCAGCTAATAAAATTTTGTTACTTTTCTCAATCACATTATTTTTTTGCGAATTACTTTGTCAATCATGCATATGTTTTCAACCATTGATGACTGATGAGCATCTCCGTTCTACTAATGAAATCGTTGATGTACGTCGTTCTCTCAGTCATATCTTCAACTATATATACGTACCTAGATGAATTAGATGAACATCAACGGACTCCGTCCCTTAGCGACTGATGAGACATGCATGGAGTAATTTTCAAATGATTAGAAATTACTAGTAAAGTTAGTAATGATGCCCTCAGAATGCGCTGGCCGGCCGACCTTCGTATGGAAACGATCCCACCTGGCATGCCAGGATGCCGTTAGCAGCCAGCTGACTATCCAACGCACGCAAAATAAAGTAGTACTAATGTACTCTACATCATCAAGAATAATTTCCGCACCAATTAAAATACAAAATATAGCGAACTGAGCGTAGCTGAGCGGGTTCATTATGAATCTCCAACTTGACATGTGTGTTCGTATTTTCCTGAATTTATTTTATGATTTAATGACGCTATTTTTTCAGTGGTAGGTGACGTATCCGTCGACAGCGAGACGTCTGTGGTGACTTCATCAATATCGAGATTTGCCGGCCTAACTCAGTTCTTCGAAGCTGCTCATAGGGTTAGGGTGTGCGTGACCACGTTCATAGGGGTAAGCGTGCGCTTGTGTATGTGAACGTCGACGTCTGGGTCTCGCAAAAAAAATACAAAAATATAGATATACTTTATATTATATATGTTGCAGCTAGCCATACATGCAGTATGCATGAACCTGTGGAGGAAGAATGATCGGGCCGGCGTACCTGTCCCACGATGTTGAACCTGCACATGATCGACACGACAAAACGCAATAGAAGATGAAACTTGATTAGGCAAATGAATGCAAAACTCTCCTATGGCATTTTGTCACAAAAGTCAATTTAAGGGCACCCACAATGGGTGACTCATAACTTCATAACCTAGCTCTAAGTATTTATTTTCATATTTTAATACAAGAGAGAGAAAAGTTAACTCTTAATCAAGAGATAGGCTCGTACATATATTATAAGAACACGTGAGAGTGTCATGTGGTTCCTAATTATACTATGAGCTATTGCTAAAAGCTAACACTATTAAAGAGGTTGGTTTAGAAATAGTAGCTGACTTTTACTGTTGTGGATGTCCTAACATAAATAATAAAAGCGGAATGCTTAATTGTTTGACAAATCATTGCAGATGGTTCGTTTCTGGTTGGTTTCCAACCAGAACGAAATGCAAACCGAGAGCAAAATGCATGTGTATATAGTTGCCACAACAGAATATTGTTAATGAATAGAACTAACGTACCATCCAGTGAGTCCTTGCCGGCGAGCTTGGCGCTCCAGTAGTAGAGCCCGCCGGAGGTCGGGTACGCCGAGCAGATCTCCGCCATGGACAGCGCCACGCAGCCGTTGAGGGCGGAGACGAGCAACCACCCCAGCGTCATGGACACCGGGCCGCCGTAGCGCAGGCCGGTGTTGTAGGTGATGGTCACGCCCATGAACACGGAGATGATGGAGAAAGACAAGGCGAAGTTGGAAAGAACGCTATTATACGCGCATGCATCATCAGCATTTCAGCACATGTAGCAGAAGAAAAAACAGAGCTCAGAACTTCAATTATTCAATTCAGCAGCGAAAGAATCGAAGGCAGTTAACTAGCTAGCTTACGAGAGGCCTCGCTTGAGCTCCTGCTTGTAGCCCAGCTGGCGCAGCCGGACTTGGTCTCGATCCGCCGCCGGGTCGGCGACGGGCAGCTGAACAGAGGAGCGGCGAGAAGCGGCCATGGCTGAGTTATCCTAGCTCGATCTCTGCTGCAGGCTGCGCACGCGCTTCCTCAGTTCCTCTGCCGGTGCCAGTGGTGGCCTGCAGGCACCGCAGCTTTACTTTGCTGCTACCGCTAGGCGCTAGCATATATATATATATATATATATATATATATATATATATATATATATATATATATATATGCCCTGCTAGCTTAACCTTATAAGCCGTATTTTTTCAGCTAACGAACAATATTTTTCAACTAATAGTACTTTCAGCCATGACTTTTCAGTCAGGCGAACAGGCAATATACTCCTACTTAGATGCACAAAGAGTCAACACGAGGACTGCAAATTTGGCAGCAGGCCCGTTCCAGGATATATGTCATCGGATTGGGAATTATTTTAACTGAATCAAGGGGGACGTTGATGTTGATGCTTAGGACAAGCAAGCACTTGTTTGACCTTTGCACATTGCTTAGCTGCTAGCCAGAGGAAGCCATGCTAATAGGTTTTCACTAGCGGGACTAGCTAATAACTGAGCCTCGCTTGAATCCATTTGCAAAGAAGGCCTACCAAATTTGAATCCATTTGCAAAGAAGACCTACCAAATTTGAATCCATTTGCAAATTGCAAAGAAGGCGTGGGGCTAAACCGTCTACCAGAAGCGCCCGTACACGTAGGAGCGTTGCACAGGCCCTTATGTGACCAATTGTTACGCAGGCGGCAACAAACAAGGGAGCCAACAGAGAGATGAGTAAAAGGTATAAACTAACGCACTTTATTTGAGCACTAAGAATCTATGATGATGGTGATACTGAATTACTGATATATACAACCTTTGGAGTACACCACGATAAATGGTGTAACTTGCCTCCCTACCTTGTACAGCACCAAAATAGATATGTACACCGACGTCTACACAGACAGAAGACCATAGGGTACAAGGTAGGGAGGCAAATTACACGCTGGTACAAAAGGGACAACGTCTGGTTGTGGGGATTGTCAAGAGGTCTCTATAAACTTTTTTTTTATCAAAGCTAAGTGAAGCCTAACCGGCCTGGTGTTAAAACTGCTGGTTTGGTGGTTACTGTGAGAAAATCACATGTTACCTGTGCACTATATCATGAGCTTTTCTATGTGGGGCCACTGAGAATGAAAATGTACGGCTATATCATGAGGTTTATTTCGTTGATGTCATCCATGGGGATCTCGAGGCCCATCAAGTCGAGATTCTGGAGTCCATCGTCGTCGTCCAGATTTAACCAGCCGCCAAAGTCAACATCCATTCCTGGCAGCTCGAGGTTAGATAAGTCTGGCATTTCGGCGTCATTTGAAGCATTTGCCGGATCATCATGTCTAGCAGCAGCTGGGGCTGCTGTGCTGTCCTTGCCATTGCTGGGAGGCATTATTTTGGCTGGAAGCTGTAGATCCCTAGGGTTACTGCTTGAAGGAGCAGAGATGTTGGTTGTCTTCTGTTTGGGCTTTGTTTTATTCTTCCTTTCACCTTTTGCATTGGATGACGATGGACGGCCAGACCTAAGACTGTCTCGGTTGTGCCCCTTCCCTTCTCTGTCCCTCTCGCTTCTCTTTCCTTTCGTATTGCTGACAAGGGAAGTACCAAGGCCTGAGGTTTTCAAAGTTCCTCCTGTTATGCTACCTACAACCTCATCGAGCAACAATTCCCTTTGTTTTACATTGTTTGTCCAGGGATCCTCCTTTGCAAATGACAGGTCCGTCAGGTGACTGCTTCCTCGCGAAGCATCTGATGCACTGGCCCTGTGGACTGGTTTCACTGTTGTATTATTATCTGCAAGTAAGAAAATAAATCAGATCCCTTATGGCTGGGCAACGCGATACATATAACTAGTACTTCCTCAGTCCCAAAAAGATGCAACTCTCGCCTTTTGAGAAGACAAATATTTTTAAGTTTGACCAAAACTATAAAAAAAAGTACTAAAGTTTATCATACCGAATAAGTATCATTAGAATGGTAATGTTATATATTTTCATAGTATACTTATTTGGAGTATAAATATTAAAAATAATTTCTATAAACTTGGTCAGAATTAAGGAAGTTTAACCCTTTTTGGGATGGAGGTTGTATAAACAAATTGCTACAGACAATGCCTATAGTTATTATGGTGATGCAATACCTTGTGAAGCAGCATCTGGACTGCTTTTGTGAGATGTCGCTGATAAAAACATATCCTTGAATGTAGGCTCATCAAAGCAACTTGTCCCCGCCTCCTCATAGTTTTGGCATCGCACTAGTACTCGTTTGACAAAACTTAGAGCAGCATGTCTGCCAGCTCTACTAACATTTTTGCTGCTTGAAACATTTGGACCACAGAAGGCCTGGAGATTAGCACAAAACGGTCAATAACTTAACTAAGTATGTGAAAACATATTAAACTTCAGAATCCACAAAGTAAGCAGAGCTAACAAATGTCAAAAAAAAATATTCTTCCTTAAAAAAACATGTTCAGCGCAGACGTATTCCAATTCCTACTTATATAAGTTCATTACCACTTGAACATCAACTGTAAAACTTGAATGCAAGTTCCAAATAATGACACATTACTCAAGCTCAAATTTATGAAGAATATACCACCTCAAAATAACTAAAACGACAAAATAACTAAAACGACTACAAAGGTGGCGCACCACGAAGCTGTCCCACTTCCAGTGGTTTGGGAACAGCATCCGCCAAGCAAATCAAAGTCATGGACCTAGATGAGCATGGCAAGAACCAGTACTCAGGTGCATTGCAGAAACTGGTCAGGGTTATGCTCACAACACAATAATTGTCATTTTTTTATCTCAAGCAAACCATCCAAGTAACTGTGTAGGCCAGGCTAAGCAAGCTGAAACACTTTCCAAAATAACATCAGGAGAAAGTTAATAGACATGAACTAGAATCATATTAGGGCATGCGCAAAGTGAAACGACCACTTAAATGTGGGGCCCATAGCAGATGGCATTAGTTAAGTCACAAGCCACAGCGATGCTGCTCCTAGCAGGACATTAGGCGGGCCCCACAAAGTAAAAAAATCTCACCATCCCCAACCTCCCCTTCCACGCAGAATGCTCGCTCGATACCCAACTTCCCATGCCGTGAACACTCGACCCAGCAATTTTCTTCACCTTCGCCCCTCATGCATGGGGCATATCCTTGCCTGACAGGCTCCAATCCAGATTATTCGGCAACGAGTAGGGCAGCAGGCTGCAGCGACACGGCAGGGTCGCATATTGGCCACCTTGTGATCCTGCGGTCGGCACCGGGGCCTCCATCCAGCACGCTAGCTGCTCTGCGCGAGGTCAAGCCCCTCCCTGATCCACGTCCCAATGCCGCTGGACAAGCAGCGGCGGCAGCTCGATGCTCAGGCGCAGGCGTTACGTGGTGGATTGGCTCGCCGCTGGCCATGGATCACAAGGTACCACGGATTATTGTATCTCTGCTCTTTCCTCCTTCCCGTGGTTGAGTGATTAATTTGATGATTTGTCCGTGTATACCTGCAGCTATATTGTCCTCATCCCTGAGCACATCCCATCCACAGACTTCCACCGGTGGATGGATCTGATGAGGCTACTCTCTCCACTTTGCAGGATCTAGAGGAGACGATCACCATGCAGCTTGAGGTCCTATCGCCGACTGCCCTGGACCACATGCTAATGGCTAATGCTTGCACCCTTCCTGTACACGAGTTCACCTGGCCCTGGAAACCATTCTGGAGGTGGCCAACCAACAGTCATGTGCGCCATGGAGGGAGGAAGGGGCAGGAAAATAGGATCTAATAGGCTGATACCATGTAGAGACACACCTCACACCCAATATGGGGGGGTGACCTTCATATATATAGCCAATATGGCTGGGTATACAAGGAATACAATCAAGTATACATAGAAGGTGCTAATCATGGCTAATCACACATAGACTTGCCTAATAGGGAGAAAGGGGGGGACAGAGACGAAAAATTACTTCTTAGGTGCACTCTAAGCTTGAGATCAACTGAGGAAACTTCTCTTTAAGGTGACTTCCCACAATGTTTGTGGTTCATTTTAAGAATGCAGTCATTAACTTAAGGTCACCTTTTAGCTACAATGTTAACTGTTGGTAATAACATACTTTTTTCGACGTTAAAAAAAAATTAGTTGACTGGGTTCTCATTGTATCAAAAGAAATGCATGATACACACAGGGTTTTTCAATACATCATTCAAAAATTTTATATGCTCAACAGGTGAAAAGAATATTAACAAATAATGAACTGATATTATTTTGGGGAAAAAAAAAGGATGATAAAGGCAGTTGGATACATAGAGCAAAGAGTTTCAGGAAAGCTAATAAGAAACAAAATTAGGTTGATAACTAAACTAAAATGGCAATTAGGAAAATGAATAGCAGTGTGTATTAATCAGTAGCATGACCAATAAAATGAGAAATAGCTACATATTGGAGATTTGAGGGAGTTACCATATATTTCTCATATGCTCTCAGGAGAAGTCTATCCATGGCAAGCCGTGAGAATTCCCTATTATAAAGTGCACCAAGTTTACATAAGAGTCTGCAACATGAGATCTGTTTCCATAATAGGTGCAAATGGCCTGAAAATACCTCTGCTGAGACTCTTTTGCAGTTGTAACAATGCCATCCAGTTTCAATAGCAAGTTTTTCTTCTCCACAACCTATGATATCAGCAGAAGTATTACAATTAATTATGGGAGTGTTATATTGTAGACATGGGTAAAATACATCAAAGATAGTAAAACAAGTCAATCAATAAATGGAATGTGACGCATCAGTAGACGTAAAGCAATTAAAATGGTATGCTATATTGTAGACATGGGTTGAAGAGATTAAGAATAACAAAATATGTTGATCAAGAAATAAGACACACGTCCATGCACTTAGTAAGTTATGAATACCTCTTTATGAAGTTGGCCTTCTAATTTACAGATTTCAGCATTAATATCCTCGTCCTCACTCTGTGCAAGATCAGGCTGAAATGGAAACAAGAA